TTCTGGAGGAAGGTTGTTCCACGGGTTAATTGTTCTCACTGTCAGGAAGTTTCTCCTTAGTTCTTGGTTGCTTCTCTCCTTGATTAGTTTCTATTTCTAATAAGCTTCTGGTGATTCCTGTCTTGGTGCCTCCTGGGGCTGAAATTCTTCTGGTTCATGTGGTGCAGTTTCTTTAGGGTCAGAGTCCAACCCCTGGTGTAAGACAGTGATTGCTCAAGCTTACACACAAGAATCTTGTCACCTAAAGTTCAAATCCGAATCAGCTGAATATGGATCATAACATAACAACTGTAGGCTGATTATTTACTTAACTCTCCCTCTCCACTAGTTTTGCCTGCTCTTCTGCTACATTTTCATGCATTTTAATATTCATCCATTATGGTTAATGGGATAAGGGAAAGGTATTACGGATTTACCACAGGTGGTGGGATGTACATTATCACAGGAGGGAGGGGGTCTTCGCCAAGGAGTAATAGGCACGTCGACCAAGAATCCTTGGAATGAAGGAAGAGGCACAGAGTGGACCCTCCTGCAGCCTTTCACAGAGTATATATAATAGTTATGCATATTGTGCTTTAGTCTGGCAAGATTCCTGCCAATGGGTTAGCAACAATAAAGAAACTGATCTGAGTAAACCTCTGTGTCTTTCTTGGTTCCTTGCTCCTGACACTACCTTGTTTTTAAGAGAATGTCAAAGGAAAGTAGAAAGAAAGAGACCCACCAATATCTTCCCCATAGGCCATGGGGACCTATTGCTCCCTTCAGGAATCTTCTCCTTCTAGACACACACAAAAAAAGTCCTTCCAGGTTTTGTCTGTTTGGTTGAACCAACCAGAAGAAAGACTGCATTTGGTTAAATATATATCCTCACCAGCAAGATTGGCACACAGGACTAAACGGTCAAAATGGTGGAAGCCTACACTGTTTATTGGTGCATTAGTTTAATAAGCCACTCAGAGTCACCTTAATGCAGATATAGGCACATTCAAACTTAAAAAATAATAAAAGGAAATTTCTGTCACAGTGAACAATGGCTGCCATAAGATGCTCTAACTCTAAGTGGCTCGTTTCCAGGAATTTGAGATCCAGGTTAGGGTGCATCTCAGTCGAGTACATTTTGGTTGATTCTTCTTTAAGATAAGATTATATCATTAACTGCTTCTTTTGCATGCTTTCTGCAAAGTTGCAAAATTCAGAGAAGAACATCAGACAAGTTATTCTTATTTCTCTCAGAAAGTTTGCAGCTGGGTCAAGCTCAGTTCCTCTTTCTGACTGTAACTGCATCAAGTGCAACTAACGGGATTCACTGAAAAAAGATCTCATCCTTAGATTCCCAAAGAGACCAGCTGGTTCCATCTGGAGATTCTTCCCATTATCACCAGGTACGTCTGCGGTAAAGGCAGAGTTTGTGTTGGGGTCATTTATTATCTGCAAAACGTTTCTTTTTGAGACCAGAGTAGGACTAGGAGCCCATTAGTATGGGGTCAGGTAAACTAGCAGGGTCTTCTGCCCCATAACAGAACTCAATTTAGCAGCAATTGTTTTTCCCAGTACGGTATGATAACAATCTTCTCATATCTGACTTCAGTCAATCTTAATAAGTATAGAATCAAGATCATGTGAAGTGTTAATACCACTTTACAATGCCTTGGTAAGGCCACACTTGGAATACTGAATCCACTTTTGGTCATCACGAAGTAAATAAGATGTTGAGACTCTAGAAAGAGTACAGAGAAGAGCAACAAAGATGATCAGGGGACTGGAGGCTAAAACATATAAGGAACGGTTTCTGGAATTGGGTATGTCTAGTTTAACGAAGAGAAGGGGGGACATGATAGCAGAGTTCCAATATCTCAGGGGCTGCCCCAAAGAAAAGGGAGTCAAGCTGTTCTCCAAAGCAACTGGAGGCAGGACAAGAAGCAACGGATGGAAACTCATCAAGGAGAGAAGCAACCTAGAACTAAGGAGAAACTTCCTGACAGTTAGAACAATTAATCAGTGGAACAACCTGCCTCCAGAAGCTGTGAATGCTCCAACACTGGAGGCTTTTAAGAAGAGATTGGACAGCCATTTGTCTAATATGATATAGGGTTTCCTGCCTGAACAGTGATTGGACTAGATGACCTTCAAGGTCCCTTCCAACTATTATTACTATTATTATTGTTGTTGTTGTTGTTGTCGTTGCTGCTGCTGCTGCTGCTGTTGTTGTTATTGAAGAGCCGTGATGGAGCAGTAGTTAGAATGCAGTAGTACAGGTTAATTCTGCCAACTGCCAGCAGTTCAATTCTCACCGACTCGAGGTTGACTCAGCTTTGTATCCTTCCAAGGTCGGTAAAATGAGGAGTTAGATTTTTAGGGGCAATAGGCTGACTCTGTACACCACTTAGAGAAGGCTGTAAAGTGCTATGAAGTGGTATACACGTCTAAGTGCTAATTGCTATAAAACAGCTAGGAACATCAAAATATTTTAAACAGTGTTTGGAGCATTTTGTTTTATAGCAAAATTTGAAATTAAGGAAATCTGTTCATTCACCTGCTCCCAGCTAATAACTAAGATCCATAAAAAATGGTTTAACTCTTTTAATCCATGAGTTATTTCATCAGGTCAACTCTACAGAGTGCTATTGCTATTGTTATTTTTTTTCTAATCTCATGCTATTAATTGTTAGCTGCTATCTTTCCGAAAAATAAATCTTATTTTTTAAAATTCCCTTTTAATGGTTGTTGGTCTTCTGGTCTTTTGATTCCTTTGGTTTTGAACTGTAAATAAATTTTATTGCTTGATTGAAAGGTAGGAAGGGCTACCCTTGTTTTGTGCGAATGGCAAACCGACAGTGGCTTTGAATTCCCCAAGAACACAATTCCTTTCAGCCATTTTGATGGTCAGAAGTCCGTTTTCTTTTAATAATTATATTTTCTCTTCAATTACAGTGCTCCGGGTTGTCCACCTTATCCACGGATTTGAACTGTTCTAAGCAAGCAAACACTTTTTGCATAATGGAGGAGGAATTTGATTACTCAGGAGGTATGAACAGCATGAAGATTATATTATATATAACATTTCCTTTCCTTTGTGATAACTGATAACTACTGATAAAAAAAACCTCAAGGGTTCATATTGATTCGTGATTTTATTCCAGAATTGAGACTCTTGGAGCAAATCATGAGTTGGGGATTTCATTGGCATTTTGAAAACATTCAGTGGGTGCATTCACAAAATGGCTTCTGATGAAATTATTCATATAATAAGTCTCACGGAGTATTTAAGAATATCAACACACTGATACCTGTCACTTCCTACAGGCAACATCAACCTGGAATTGTCCTTTGGAAGGACACAAGGGATGAAATCAACCTCTTTGTTCTTCTTTAATTAGGAAAAAAAAAGATTAGATGCCCAGAAGCATTTCTAAAAATGAAGGAATAACAAGAGTGGGGAAAATACTTTCCTTTTTAAAATGAGCACTTTTAAAATTATTTTGAGTTAACTATCAGGTTAAATAATTAGAGGATCACAAAGACTGATTATTGGCTAATAGCTATCTAGGCAACAATGGGGGGAAAAATCTATTGGGGATTATTTTATTCATACATTCGGAGACTCCCATTCAGAAAGAAACAAATCAATGTGGATGAAGTTTATAAAGCACATTAGCATTTTTCTGCCTGCTGTTATTGATCAAAATAATGATTTACTATTATTGCTTCCTTAGGGAATACATCATTCACAATAAAACAAAAAAACTTCCCTGATGTTTGGCAGAGATACCACTTGTAAGTGTATTATGATACAAAACATTTTCTTTGCAGGAATGGAGTTAGCCATCCAGTTGTTTCATGATATTCCGAAAGAAGAATTGCTTTGTTGCTCAGCCTATTTGTGACTGATGGAACAGGATGCCCTTCTTTTGAAGGGAATCTTCTGTGGTGGAGGTTGCTCAACTCTCCATGTAATCTCTCCACATAATCAGGAGAGCATTTCAGCTTTGTTGGTCTTTGTTGAAATCCATGGGACTTTCTTGATTTTAGGACAAGTCTCACATATGCTGTCCACCTATACACCCACAACTTTTTTCCTTTCCTTAGCAAAAAGGCCATCAACTCACGATCTCCAGAACCTTTGATCATAACTTTCTCTAACCTACAGTCAGTAGACATCTGCCATAAGGAGGACATGTGCTACTTGTTGCCCTCGTTTCCTCCAACCGACAGATGGAGTTTAAAATTGTCTTGAGTTTTTGAGTACCGAAGTAAACACCTTTTATCTAATAAATGCTAAGTATAGTTATTGGAGTTAACAAACTTTGACTGAAATTGACAAGATCTTAATCAATTACACACTGAAAGCTAACAGCTAGTACTAGCATGTTCCTCTCAAAGTGCATTTCACATTGTGTGCTTGTTTGCACACTTGTAATCCCTTACTATCTAAAGCAGGGGTCCCCAATGCCTGGTCCATGGCCACAGCTTGCCACAAACCGGGCCATGCAAACAAGCCTGTTCAAATACCAGGTAACCCTACTCTACCCTCAGCCACAATGGCTAATAAAGGGAATTGGTGCCAGTTGTCATGAAGTGATCTTTGAAGGATTTTGCATAGAAGCTTGGGTCACGATTGAGTGTAGCAATTCTCCAACCTTGCAACAAACATTAATTTTAGGGATGTAATTACCATCAGGAAGTCAAAAAGCAGATACGTGTTGATATGTGTAAGTAAGAAAATGTGTGTCTGTGCATGTGTTTGTGTGTCTGCCTGTGTGTTTGTTTGTTTGTGTGTGAATGTTTGTGTATATGTGTGCATTTGTGTGTGTATGTTTGTATGTACAGTATATAAGTATGTATTTCTCTAACAAGGTCTGATTCTCTTTCTGTCTCTTTTTGATATTAGGATACGTGAGGGGCTGTTAATTCCTGTGAATGATGCTGAAATTTCTGGGAGTGGTTCTGAAATGATCAACTTTCCTTTCAATACTACTACAATTGCTCTAAATATTTCTGAAATGCCCAAAAAATTTTCTTCACCTTATGCTCAAACGTTTGATAATTTAACACGAAATCTTATCAGTGGGTTCATTGCCCTTATTTGCATTTTAGGCCTTGTGGGAAATGGAAGGACCATTTATCTCTTGGCCTTTTCCATTAAGAGAAATTCTTTCACCACCTACATCCTGAATCTCTCCATCGCTGATTTTGGGGTCCTCGCATCCCTCATTATGGCAGAAATATTTGTGACCGTGTTAACTCTGAATCAAAGAACATATGTGGTTGATACCTTTTTCTTCTTATTTTTTGAGCTCTTTTTCTTCACCTATTCTGCTAGCCAGTTTCTGCTGATGGCCATCAGCCTGGACAGGTGTGTGGCTGTCCTCTTCCCACTCTGGCATCGCTGCCATCGTCCTCCATATTTGTCCACCTTGGTTTCTGGCCTCATCTGGATCCTCTCCTTCCTGCTCTCTGCGGTGCACTTCATTCTCCACCAGACCAGAAACAAAAGAAGTTCACCTTTCCTTTATCAGCTGATTGTGAATGGTTTACTTTGTACGCCTATCATGGTTGTATCCACTGTGACCCTCTGGATTCACATGAGATCTAAATCACAACGCAATCAAAGGAAGTTGCTCTCCACCATCTTGCTGGCTCTCCTTTTCTTCCTTCTCTTTTCTTTCCCAATGAATGTCTTTTATGTCATTGAATATTTTGATACCTATAATCTCCTCCTGATGACCATTGGGATAGGATGTGCCTCTCTCAACAGCAGCATCAACCCCCTCCTTTATTTCTTTGTTGGGAGGAAGCAGAGAGGAAAGGACCAGCCCAGAACATCATACAAGGTTGCTCTGCAAAGAGTCTTCAAGGATGAGAAGGACAGTCCAGAAGAGCAGCAAACTACAAAGGAAGACCAGTTGTGAAGGGTCGTAAATATTGCATATACAATATTTGAAGCTACAGGTTTATTTGGGACATAAAATATGCTTTACTTAAGAATATACAGAATGGATACAATTTACTGAGCAAAGTACTTAAAAACAAAGATATGTAAACTGAGAGTATTGCTATGTCCATATTTTTCAATCCAACGAACTTGTTTAACAGGAAATGTTTTAGCTGATATAGTCCCTTTTTATTTCATAAAAACTACTATCAGGACTAAGTCTTACTGAATGAAAGCTTAAAGTTGTGTAACTGATTATATGTATTATTCTGTGTTACATGTTATTATGATGCTACCATGGTACCACTATATAGATAATACAGATGATGTAGAAGAGGAAGAAGA